GTCCCCGTCCCTTCCGTTCTCCCAGAGAAGAAGACAAGAAGACAAGAACTAACCGTCGCTCTGAGTGCCAGAGTCCACCCTGAGACAGCCCGAGGCGGCGCTGCTGTTGAGCTTGAGCTGCATGTTCTTAGCCATCATGCTCTGGCGCACGTTGCGCTCGGGCCGGAGCAGGATGATGTAGAGCTTGGGCGTGAACATACAGATAAGGGCCACAGTGGCGCTGAGGCTGATGGAGAAGCACATAGTGGCCAGCCGGACCTGGATGTTGTGGGAAGTACTCAGATAGATAACCACAAACGCCGCCCAGATGATACAGGTGGTGTACATGGTGAATCCGATATACTTGGACTCGTTGAACGCCTCGGGGATCTTCCTGGTGATGATGGCGTAGATGGTGCAGACGAGGATGAGGAAGATCGGATAGGAGAAGCCGATCATGTACGCAAAGCCGATGGCCGCCTCACAGACCAGCTGGTGGTCGGCGCGTGTGGCGAAGAAGGAGACGGCTTTTGGCGGGCTGGTGAGCAGCCAGATGAGACTGATGATGATCTGGCAGGCCACGAGACTGGCGCAGATGACCAGCTGGGACTCCGGGCTGATGAACTTTGGCCGCTTCACCGTTCTCTTGCCCGCGCGGAAAATTCTGGAGATGCGGTTGGTTTTGGTCAAGATGGCGGAGTAGCAGACGGAGAAGCAGAAGCCGATGCCGACCGTCTGCGCGCCACACACGTACTTGGTGGGTTTGGAGACGAGAAGGAAGGTCATGGTGTAGCAGAGGAAGATCCCGGCCAGCAGAACGAAGCTCAACTCTCGGCCTGACGCCTTCACCACCGGCGTGTTGTTGTGCTTCAGGAAGATGATGGCCGTGGTTGTGGTTGCTAGGATACCTAGCGACGCGAATGCCATGGCAACCAGCGCTATGGAGTCGGTGTAGTGCAGGAAGACGGGTGGGATGGGAATACAGTGAGTCATATTGTAGCTGGGTACTGTGCCCCCGGGACACTCCTCGCATCTGGGGAAGTCAGGGGATGGGTAGGGGGGGGGTGGTAGTTAGCGGGTGTAACCGGTGTGGTGGAGGTGTTCCAGTTGAGAGAGACACATGGACACACCAGTACAGAGAGACACATCGCGGCCTCAGTGCTTTCTTGTTGTATCTCCACTTTTTTTTAAAGAGTGGAAACAGTTCATAACAAAGAGTGAGCTCAATTAAAAAGGTATCACATTTTCACTGTCAGAAAAAAGAGATGATACAAGAGAGAAGAGAGAAGAGAGAGAGAGAGAGAGAGAGAGAGAGAGAGAGAGAGAGAGAGAGAGAGA